CATTAAACTCAGCAAATAAAATACTTGTCATGCCCCACACTCAATTTTTATTTTCTTTCTGGCCCTTCTTGTTAATATTTTGTCATATGTGTAACCATCCTGTACACACACACACACACACACAAAATAATAACCAAACAGTGGAAAACTCTCTGGACAGTCTTTTCCCAAGCTTTTATATAAAAAAACTTACTCAATTATTCATATTTCTCCCTATATACATCTTATATTACAAATTTGTATTTATTGTCTTACTCTGCTCTGAAATCCATATTCATACAATAATCAGTCAGTCCACAGAGTTTTGTTGAGCTCTTACTTCATGCCTCGCACTGCACTAGGCAGCTAAAAGAATTAGTAAGACAGATAAAATTACTTTTTCCATGAAATGTATGTTCTATTTTGGAAAGACAAAATACACAACTGCCCACATAAATAGACCCAGTAATTTCAAATAAGTGCTATGGATAAAAACATAAAGGTGAAGAGCTAAGAAATGACACTTCACTTTGGATAGTCAAAGAAGGTCTCTTTCAGGAGCTGAGGTAGTATGAGGGAATGGAGACCCTAATTCTAGATACTGAAGGATGCGCATATCAGCAAGAGAAAACAGGAAGTTTCAGTGAGATGCATATTAACTTGAAGTGTTCTGTGCCTCCAAAGTTCTGTGTGACTGGAGGAAGTGGAGGAGAGTGAGTTTGGAGGTTAATGGAGATGAGATCATAAGGACAGTCAGGGGTCATATGAATTAAGCAAGACCTAGTGGGCCATGGTGAGGATTTAGGATTTTGTTCTAAATGGAATAGAAAGCTCCTGAATGATTTTGAACACATGGGCAAAGTCAAATTCCATTAGAATTTCATATCTCTGAAATCAAACATATATTTTGAAATCAATGGTATCTTTCTGTCACTATGGGTCAGACAGTGCCCTTTGTCATTGCTCTGGAAGTACCTTATCTGGTTTCATTTGTATTTCCATTTTATTTTTTTTTTTTAAGATTTATTTATTTATTTATACAAGCACTGGTTACAGTCAGAAGTGCAGGAGGGTGAGAGAATTTATCAGAGCCAGAGTGGGGAACAGAAAAGGCAGACTGACGAAATACTCTGCTGAGGGGAGCAGGAGAGATCTGTCGCACCATGTGGGACCCTCGCTGGCGGCCGGGGATCGAACCGGCACTGCAGAGGCTGCGGGCAGCTTAGCAGCGCAGTGCTCAACTGCTGCGCCACCAGGGGAGGCCCTATATTTACATTTTAGTATATAAAAGAGACATATATTTTTAAAAATCTCTAAGGTGAAGAGAAATAAAATATAAAAAGTCTAAGGATGCACAATGTCATACTTTTTGTTCTTACTTGCACCTAAAATATGAATGTATCATTACTTGTTATATGAAGTCTTACATCAAATGAAGTAGATAAATCATATGAAAAGGTTTCAAAAGACCTGTCACTTTTGTGGCATGTGTATTACAGGAGACAAGAGTAGAAACTTGTGGACAAGTTAGGAGACTAGCAGCAGGTTATATAGTGATAGTGAAGAGGCTAAAGTATCTGAAATACATGGGAGGGGAGCTACGAAGACCTGTAGATAGACTGAATAAATGCTGTGACTGAGAGAAAAATGTCATAGATATATCCAAGTTTTCTAGTTTCTAATTATGGAATTAGCTATTCACTGAGAATGTGAAGATTGATATACATGTGTGCATTGTTGGGGTTGTGAGAGAAGTTAAGTAAATAGTAAATATCAATTCTTCATTTCACCTATTATCACCTCAGGACAGTCTTCCTAACTCTAAGGTGGGCTCTTCCCTATGTGTAGCCTTGCTTAAGTTCCACACAGAAAGTTTACCACCTTGTGCAGCGGTAGAGCCCTGGGTTGCAAAGCTGCCCGCGGCCTCTGCAGCGCTGGTTCAATCCCCGGCTGCCCCAGGCCACCAGAGGAGGGTCCCACATGGTGCGCGGACCTCTCCTGCAGCTCGCTGCTCCCCTCAGCAGTGTACTTCGGTCCTTCTGCCTGCTCTACTCCCTGCTCTGGCTCTGGTGAATTCTCTCACCCTCCTGCGCTTCTGACTGTACCCAGTGCATGTATAAACAAAACAAACAAACAAAACAAACAAATAAATAAATAAAACATGCCTCTATTTAAAAAAAAAAAAGAAAGAAAATTTACCACCTTTCTGATTCAATATCAGCATTTGTGATTCACTTTTTTCCCTCTCTGCGCCCTTACTATTGGGCTGTAGAAGCTATGAGGGCAGAACACATAGGGGGTTTGGTTCACTGTTTTATCTTCAGCCTAGATACAGTGCCAGACACAGATTAGATATTCAGCCAATACTTTTCAACACATGAAAATGTTAATCCTAAGGTCTTCTTTTATCCTGCCTGTTTCATAGTGCTTAGTCACTGCCGAGTCCCCACTCCGCAAGACAGGAAACCACAGCTCTGGGGTAGCCAGAGTTCCTGCAGTGCTAACATGAGAGAAAGTATAAGATGAAACAAAAATATGCCAGAAAAGACCTATAGACAAACACATTCCTTTTATTAAGAATCATTATACCTGTCAGCCTGAGAAAGCCTTCGACAGGTATTATTATTAGGTGTAAATGAAGAAAGTGGTAGAAAAGGAAGACCATGTTACCCAGAAGGATAAATAGGGAACAAAGATAGATTAACAAACAGCATATTTTGGACAATACTAGACATTTTAATGGGCTGGAGATGGCAAAAGATGATCCTGAGAAGGTAGGCAGGCTCCAGAACATGGATGGCACTGTATGACTAACTGGACAAGGAATCTGGATTTTATTCTGGAGACAAATAATAGCCTCTAAAGGCTCATAGCAGGAAAGTGAATAGGTCACTCTCATTTTCCCACTTGGGATAATAGAGGGGATTTATTGATGGGGTTGAAATTTAATGTGGGGTTGAAACTGTTTCTGAAGCCAGTCAGCCTTGGTTTAAACTTTGTTCTGAGACAAACTAGTTCAGTGAGCTTAGTTGTTATGTAAGCTTCTGTAAAGAAATAATAACAGAATCATGTATCATCACTCTGTCGTTAAGAGTTGTAACTAAATTTTCTCTAGTACCATTTTCATTTAAAAAGTCCAGGGATGAAGTTCTGTTCAACAGGTTATAACTTTATATCTTGTTTCTTTTTAATACATATTGAATTTTTAAGTATTGGTTTGATTTATTTTTATTACATATTCTTTGGAGGCAGGTTATTCTTATTAAAATTTTACATATTCCAGAGTCTAGCACTGTGAGAGGTGATGTGAGAACTATCTGTAAATATGTGGTCCCAATCTTTGACAGTGAGATCCCTGTACTCACATTATTTTGAAACTAATATTTATTAATATATCGATTACTAGTTCTAATTATAATACAACTATTTATGTTCTCTATATTTTACATGCAATTTAAGTGATTAATGGCCGTATTCTTCTTTTGAAGAAATACTTCCTATTCTCCTCAAAATGCTTTGATAATGGAACATCTAAAAGGTTTGCAATTATTTCCTTGAAGTGACTAAAAGTTCTATGTAATCTTCCATACAAATTACAGAAATTAAATTAATAGAAATGATCATGTTAGTTACATGGAAAGCTTGAAAAACGGCATTTGTTCTTATTAAATAGACCACATTCTGTTGTCCCAAAGAAAGATTAATTTATATCTATGAAAATGTCTGCTACAGGCAAAAATCTTGCCATCCCAAGTTGAACATTTTACAATCTGTACCATTTGTTTTATTGCAAGTTGGGATTATTTCAACTTTCACCAAGTGAATAAGCTTTTAATTAAAATTTGATACTGACATATGTTAAAAAGTCTATAACTTTTAAAAATCAATGAAATACCATATTTAAATAATAAAAAACACATAAATATGAGCCAATTAACTTGTGTCCTTTCCAGTATTTCCTTATCTTTATATCAACAACAGCTTCAACAAAATGCTTTTCACATAACAGGTGTAAGCGACTATTATTGTAACTTGTTATATAGTTGATAAATGATTTAGTCAATTACGTTCCAAGACATTATTTGGTGTCTTGAAATTATTTTACTGTAGGTACAGGGTACTTGAAAGTTTAGCTTTGTAACACTTCCTGGGTTCCACACACACATATAGAGAACTCTGAACATTCATGTAATAAAACACTAACCTGCATTTTCCACAGATGCCTTGGTGTTTGTTGGTTTTGTTTTATTTTTGGTCCTTTTGAAATTTTTCTTCAGTAATTCTTGGTTAACAATTGCTTTATTATTTTACTCCAGCAATTCAAATTGAATTTTCTCTAACTTTAAGTCAAAATCAATTTGAAAAACTGTTTTTTCTATTCATCAATTCATGATGATGGCATAACTCAATATAACACTACTGGAAAATCCAATTCTGTGACAAGTACGTGTCCAAGCACGATTCATTAATTTAAATCTTTCATAATAACCCTGCAAGTTGGCATTTTTTAACTGTATTTGTTATGCTATATCTTTGTTTTTCATGTGAAGAAATTGAATTTCAGGGAGACTATTGTCTTGCTCCCATATGACAGATCTGGAGAGTGCTGGAGCTCGGGTTCCAATCCAGCCCTGTGTACACTTTCTCCAGTATCAAGATGTTTCAGTTTTAAAATGTCACATCCCAGCTGCATTGTGGGGGTAGTTCTAAGCACAACCAACTTATCACTGAGTTTAAGTAAGTAAACTGTCACTGTGATGCTACACAATATCTTAGTCACTAGCCTACATACAAGCAAGTCTATAAGTGACTGGCTACTTCATTAAAATAAAATGGCTGCATTTGGTTTTCTCACCCTTTCCTCTTCACATAAGGTAACATTTAAAATTGACTTATCTAACTGAAATATGATTCAATTTCAACTTGAACGTGAAATCATTTTCTGGGAGTGTGATAGTTTGTTAGCTTGCAATCTTATAGATCATAGAGTTAAAGAGAAAAAAGAAAAGAATGTTTCTTACTTTCCCCTAGTTGTTTCAAAACTTGGTTTTTGATAGCTGGTTCTTTGGCTTCCATTGCTGTCACCTCTGCTGAGGTATGTTTCCCGTGGAGACCGATTGCCCACACCTCCGACAGAGTTGAGAGAGGTTACTTGTTGATTTGACTTTCTGGCAAAACTCTGAAGGAATTTCATTGTAGAGTTGGAAATGGCCTCTGACTTTGCTCTAGGACTGAACTTGATGCTGGATTTGCTTGGGAGGGCAAAAGCTTTGGACGGTAACACCTCTTCTTCTGTCTTCTCTGTGGGTGTGACAGTCTGCTTTCTCAGACCATTAGGAGATTCTGCTGTCCCTGAGGGAAGCGTTGATTTTAGAAGACTCTCTTCAGAAATTCTGGTCTCAGGAGTTGTGGTTATCTCAACTGACATGATCTGAGTAGTTGGCACCATTTGGAAACTTTGCATTTTTTCTGAATCAACTGAAGCAGAAGTCATGTTCTTCTGATAGTTTTCATCCTCAGGTGTAGTCCAAGTATGTGTAGTGTTATTAAGCCCAAAGCCTCCATTGCATAAAGTAGAAAGCAGGACAAAGAGCCTGGCTCCCTTCATCTTGGTAGTTTGAAGCAAGGAAACTCATGTGAAATAGGGATAAGGTCTTGTGCGTCTTTCCATTAGCTGCTTCCACACTGAGTCTGCTAAGCACTTTGCCAATTTGAGATGTGTAAAGGAAACAGGTTTCTCTGTTTTGTAGGGGACTCAGGAAGTTTGATTTCCTGGTTCTGTAGTTTTGTGTGATCTGTGACCTCTGGTGTGGTGGATCTATGGAAGTGGGGAAGGCTCTCTGAAAAAACAAAGGGTAGATGAGAGAAAACACAGCAATTATTATCAGAAAAATATATGTGAAAAATATGAAGTGAGAACACTCATGCTTTGTGCATTGCTATTTTTAAAAAAGAAACTTCATTTGATGATACAGTGTAAGGAATTTTGTTTGAATGGGCTGAGTCAGTAAGTCTAACATTTTGTTCTACTACACAAGGGAATTGAGAAGTGTTGCAACAATTTTCCAGTATACTCCATCCAGAAAGCCACATTTTGCTGAAGGGCATATATGCATGCACACAAGTAAATACAATCTCATTTGCATTGTCTACATTTTTATGTATCACCAGCTGATTTATGAATATACACATATATCCCCCACTTTTATAAATATACCTCAGGTATACCATTATTTGAAGTAAATCTTAATGTTTATAAGTAATAACAAAGAAAGAAAACAAGTAATTGAACAATACAGGAAACATTGAATTTTGCTTTCAGAATTTCATTCAGTATTAACTAATAAAATTAATCAGTATTTTACTTCCTCTGTGTTCTAATCCTGATCTAGTGGTGAGAAGTAATTAGCATTTTATTAGTATTACTAAGGAATGGATGAGAAAAAATTGGAAGTCACATGAAAATAAATTAAAATGTGATTATATGTAATGCTTTTGTACTTTTTACTCTAGTAGAAAAATATACTAGCTAGAAATAATAGACAGCTAAATTGATCGACTTTTTTTTAAGATTTACTTATTTATGCATACAGGAGCTGGGGTACAGGCCAGAGGTGTGGGGGTGAAAGGATTCACCAGGGACAGCATGGGGAACAGAACAGGCAGATTGACCAAAGTACACTGCTGAGGGGAGCAGCGGGCACAACAGAAGAGAGCAGCGGGAGCAGCAGACCTCTTCTGCTGCGCCATGTGGGTTTCTCCCTGGCCAGCCTGGGATCGAACTCATGCTGCAGAGGCTGTGGATTGCTTCATAGGGCGGTGCTTAACCCCTTGTGCCATCAGGGAGGCCCAATCAAAGACTTTTCTATGGGTATTTTCTTACTAGCCACATTTATGGAATTTATGATTTCACTACTCCAGCAAATTTCTGATTCTCAGGCTTCAACTAAGCTCTCTTAACTGTAAACATAATTTCATAGTAGACTCTTTGATATATAAATAGCAAGTTATAAAAATTTATTATGTATCAATTTATTATGTATTTATTATTATGTATTTATTATGTATCCATTTATTATGTATCAATTTATTCAATAATTACACAAAGCCTTAATCAGCTTCAGCAAGATACTCTCTAGGTGCTGAGATTATACAGGAAAGCTAGAAAATATTCCTCTCAGTTTGTTTATCATCCATTGTATTTTATCAAAAGGTTAGATTCCTGTGTAATTAATCCTTCTGTCAACTTCCGTGCCAAGCATTAGGCTCTTGGTAAATATTCAGTCATGTAATATTTTCTTTCAGAATTGGAAAACTGGAAATCTTGAGCTGGTTTGGTTATGTATTACTTTTGTTCCTAATTTTACACACAGAACACCAGGATTTGAAACAAGGCCTAATTTTTTCATGAATTCTAAACTACTTGTTCTTAACACTTCCATTGCTCTTAATATTTGCCATTCATTTAGAATGTACTAAATGAAAGCACATTGTTGAAATATTAGATGATATATAATATGAAGTCATTTAAAATGGCACACAATCAGCAGCAGCAACACCAATTGACTCTGATATGGAGTACAAAGCAGCTATTTCTCAGATATACCACAGAAAACTCTTACAGTAAAACAATGCATTAGCGAAAAAGTCAAAAGTTCCACCACAGACAATCCAGACATCAATTAGCTACTAAAATAAACAATGAAACTGCATATTTTTCTCAGAACAAGCACAGTTTTTAGTACCAAGATAAAGATATTACAGTTTCTTCATCTGGAAAAAGACAGAAGGATAGAATCAGCTTTGGCTTAGATGTGATCAGTAATTCAAAATGCAAGTGAATTTTCTAGTTAGTGAACAATTTTAAATCTAAGGAGTTAGACTTAAGGAAAGTGGGTGAACAGATTGTCCTCAAAGATATGGCCAGAATAACGGTACATATAGATTTTTTTTGCTGCTATAGTTTTCAGGATCAGTGAACTACAGTGGTAAGGGGTCACTCATTGGATCGATAAGTGATAACAAATGCCTCGCGACTGGTAATTAAAACTGAACTGAGACAAGCAATTCATTTTACCCTGAAAGGTATTGACCAATAACGATTTTTGGTTACCCCACCCTAGCTTACCTTGTAACCAAAAGGCTAGAGATTCTTTATCTCATTATCAATCCACTAAGCCATGTGATGCTGTGAATCCCCAGAGAACTCCCAGGCTGTTGCATTGTTTTATGTTTATGCATCATTCTTTAATTGGAGGCATAGAATATATTGGTACTTTAGAAACTGTCAGAGGCCTAACTTCAAATCCTGCTTTCTGGGAATCATGAATATTCATCAAAAAACAATTAAGAAAAATTATATTTCTGTAATTCCTGCCTGAAGAATACTGAATTCATTCTTCTAGACACCTTAAATGCTGTGCTTGGATTAAACTATACCATCAGAATTTTGTATACCTGAGCCCTATCATTCTGTTCTACGCCTATTGCTCATAGATTGTTTCTATTAAATTTTGCTCCACCCTGTTGTCATTTATTTACTTTGAATAATTTAACAAGAAACTACGAAGCTCATTACATTATGTACTATCTGGAGGTTTTAATGTGATTTTTCATTGTATCATCAGCATAGCATTGACAATACATTGCAAAATGATTTCTTTAGGTGATGGAATAATGAATATACTTTCCTTCTCTTTTTTCACTTATAGAATATATATGAATTAATTTTCTAATTACAAGAAAAAACCAAAAACTTTAAGTTTAAACAATATATAAATGAGTTAAAAGAAAATATTAGATTGAGGAACCCATTGTTTATAGACTGTGCTATTATCATTTAAAATTATTTCTAATGCTACCAAATATACTCTTTGTAAACTTGTACTTAATAAAATGTATTAGCAGATTTTCTTTTACACATGAGAAATTCTTATTTTCTTCAAATAATTTAAACATTTAAAAGTTTCATCATAAAACTTCTCTATAAATTGAAATCATCCAAAAATAATTGCAGAAAGCAAAGTTTTAAGCTGCACTTTTACATTGATTTAAAATTATTAAACCAGGGCCTTCCCGGTGGCGCAGAGGTTGAGCGCTGGGCTGAGAAGCTGCTCATAGCCTCCGTGGTGCCAGTTCAATCCCCGGACACCGGTGAGGGTCCCACATGGCGTGCAGACCTCTCCTGCCGCACCCGCTGCTCCCCTTAGTAGTGTACTTCATCAGACTGCCTGTTCTGCTCTCCCCTCTGGCTCTGGTGGGTTCTCTCACCCTCGCATGCTTCTGACTCTACCCAGTGCTTGTGTAAATAAATAAATAAATCTTTAAAAAAAAAAAACTATAAATAAAAAAAAAAAAATTATTAAACCCGGGCCTCCCCCATGGCGCAGCAATTGAGCGCTGGGCTGTGAAGCTGCCAGCAGCCTCTGCAGTACCGGTTCAATCCCCGGCCACCACCGGGTGAGGGTCCCACATGGTGCACCGACCTCTCCTGCCACCCGCTGCTCCCCTCAGCAGTGTACTTGGGTCCTTCTGCCTGTTCTGTTCCCTGCTCTGGCTCTGGTGAATTCTCTCACCCTCCCGTGCTTCTGACTGTACCCAGTGCTTGTATAAATAAATAAATAAATCTTTAAAAAATAGAATAATAAAAAATAAAATTATTAAACCTTCTTAAATTTGTATGTGGGCAAATGAAATTTATAATAATATAGTACATGAGTGGGGTAAGGAAAGTAACAGACTTAAGTGTGATTTTGATGAGCTGAAAAATGTGCTATATAAGGCAAATATGTCAAACATGCTACGTATTAAACTCTCAATTTTATTGATAAAAATTAAGCTTAATGAAATTACAACCCAACAAAAAGAAAACAAATCACTCAATCATAAAATGGACAGAAGAGCCAAATAGACACTTCTCCAAAGAATACATATAGATGACCAACAGGCACATGAAAAAATTCTCATCATCATTTTCATCAGGGAAATGCAAATCGATCACAATGAGATTCCACTCTACACCTGTGAGAATGGTCCATATCAGAAAAACCAGAAACAGCAAGTTGGTGAGAATTTGGGAAACAATGAACCCTCATACACTACTGGTGGGGATGTAGACTGTCCCGGCCCCTATGAAAACCAGTGTGGAGATTTCTAAAAATATTAAAAGTAGATCTACCATATAATCCAGCAATTCCACTCTTAGCTGTATACATGAAGAATGTAAAAACACTAAATGAAAGGAATATCTGAATTCCTATGTTAATTGCAGTACTATTTACAGCAGCCAAGCTATGGAAGGCGCCTAAGGACAGAGGAGCAATAAAGATACACAATGGCATCTGCTCGCCTATTAAAAAAAAAAAATTAGATCTTGCTATTTGCAACAACATGATTGACATTAACCAATATTACCCCAATAAAAAAGTAATACAATAAAAAAGAAATAAATAACTCGCTATGATAACAAACTGGTAATGCATAGAACATATTTAGCTCAATTCTGATTCTTTCCAAAATCTAATAATGTTTTTGCTCACCTCCTTTTCACCTCACCGGTGAGGAAATAATTCCCACACTCAAATGAGATAGGCAACAGTTTACATGTGCATATACAACTCTGTGGAGAACTCCAGGTACTACACAGGGCCACAAAGGGACTGCAGTTTGGCTTAGAGGAAAAACCAGGGGCTGTAGGAGAC